GTTTGGTGGGTCAGTAATGGTGTGGGGAAGCATTTCTTTGGAGGGCCGCACAGCCGTCCATGGGCTAGCCAGAGGTACTCTGACTGACATTAGGTACTCAGATCGTCAGACTCACAGTTACCTCCTTTCCACCAAGGAGTACCAGGTACTCGTGCCGTGTTGGTGCTAGGGCCAGTGCTTTGTTGGTTCCAATCTAAGAACCGGTTGCTTTTCCTTCAGCCAGGAGCCAAGTTAGAGCCACGACATACGACAATGCATACGTAGCCATTTACTGAACAACGCTCATGCCACACAGAAGTCCACACAGAGGAACTTTTTTACCAGTGTGACCAACTCACCTTGTCACAGGCAAAACATATGACTTGCTGAACATTTTCGTATCGATAGACTCTGCAATTTACTGATGTTCTCCGAACGCCCCACATAGTAGGCTGCGATAGCGGCTGTTGGTGGCTGTGGTGATCAGACCAGTGTGTGACCAACAATGACTTTGTAAAGGGTAAACTAGGGCGTTCTGATGTCAGATTTGTCCAAGATGAAACCGAGTGATTTTTTCCTCATATGGTCTTTTCTATGAGCAGAATAAACAGCGCACGTAGGGGTGCTCCGTTTTTCATGAGAGGACCGCAGCATAAATACCGCAGTACACCGAAGTTACAAAAGTCCTGTTTTCCACCACTGAGGTGCTGCTGGTGGGACACTGTTGTATCAGCTGTCAGGGCTCAACATTTTGTGCAGAACTTCCGTGTGAGTCCCGGGACTCATTCCAATACATCTGTGATCGGACCAGGGACATCCTGTTGCAAAACTACACAAATCACCGCTTGTGTGTCCCACTCATTCATCGGTCTCAGTACATCACGATAACTCTGCCCCCAGTCTGTGATGTACTGGTGCTTACCTGGTGCTTAGCTCTGGCCCAACAAAGAGTTGGTGCTCATGAAGCACCAGTTTTGAGAGCCTGGGGCCGGTGCTTAGGCAGTGGAAACACAAAAAACTGGTGCCAAGTTAAGCACTAGCATGGAACTAGCACTGGAACTGGTTTGGTGGAAAAGGGGTATTTGAGACAATT